ACAGCCAGCCCACTGCATGCTCCCCACGACCAAAGCCACAAAGGAAAGCTTCCTGCGGTGCTGCACTGGACCTGAGTCAGCATGGTATGAATAACCCGGCTGGAGATCCCTTCCCCCTCTCTGCTGGGGAAACTTAACCCTATCCTAGCTGAACCAGGACACTTCTAAAAAATGACATCGAGTGCATGGAACACAGTCCATATTTTAAAATTGAAGTGATCAGAGATTTGCTCAAAAACTACACCTATACCTGAATAAAACAAATCTTACATTGGTTTGACTAATATTGACTGTTGATTGACCAGAGATATTTAGCACATATGAGCAGTCATTTGGCTTGGTGTTTGATTTCAATAAGTACTTTTGGCAAAGCCAGGTACACCTTTCTGATTCAAACTGCTCCTCTGTTTTTGCCTTGCACTGACACAGCCCTTCATGTACCACACTATTTCTTACTCCCAACTTGTCACTGCTGAGCTCATGCCCAGTTGATGTGTTAATAAGACCTGCCCTGGATCAGAACATTCAGTGCTTCCCAGTGGTAAGGTCCTCTTGCTGCCTCCTACTGTTGAAATATGATGTAATATCCAATTATTTTGTCTTGCCTGTTTAACTTGTCAAACTGGAAAATAGTTATCCAGTTTGGCAATATTGTAAAAACAGGTGAATGGTCTTAATTTCTAGCACTTTGCTGGACTTTTTGTTAATTTGTCAATGAAGAAAATATTCTGGCATGTTAAATTGTCTTATAACAATCAACTTTTTTAATACTGTTCCAAAACATTTTTTTCTTTTCCTTTTGTAATTTTTTTAAAGGTTTGCTAACTTGTATGTATGAATTTTTAACAGGCAGAGATCAAAGTTCAAGTTCATTCATGATTTAATATAAAATATTCAAACTATACACAAAAAATGCAAGTATTCTATGAATATGTAGTGTCTGTACAGTTCAAACAAAGAACATTAGGTTGCCCAGATATTTCTCAGTTCTGGCATCAAGATAGCTAACCCTACTGAAATCAAGAGAAATCATGACTATTTCAACATATGTAATTAAGATAACTTAGGAAGTTGAAATAGTTTCTGAGACAACATGAAGATATTTATTTTTAATTTACTTGAAATACAAAGTCATCTGAAGTTAAATGCATCATCTTGATCAAAATTAATAATACATAAACCCTTTGTATTTATAGGTTTGGGTATAGTGTCAAGAACAAAACCAAAACAAGTAACCAGTCTGTTAAATAACCTTTAAACAATCCCTCTTGGACATTCTTACATTGGTACTGTATGTCTCGCCACCTGCATCCTTAGAGCTACTTGTTCACAAGTTTGGGTTGCCCTTTGCCCTCACGACAAATAAGGACTAAGAAAAAGTGTTAGTTTTCATGGTATCTCTAAAATAAGATTTTCTTTAAATGCTGCCTGTTTAAATATTCTTAAATGTCTGCATGCTTGCTATGTCAACTCTTGGCAATACCACATGTATTCTAATGCAATTCCTGAAATAATGTCATGATCTTCTGTTCAGAGAGAAGAGTACTGGTTTCTCCTTAGCTCTTCCATATACTTGTAATCTGGAAAAAGTGTTCAGGCTTTTTCCTCCTGTATCCCAGCCTAAATGCAGCTTCCTTGTTACATGGTTACACCCTGGCTGAACAGGGAGTTTTGCCTGCAACTCAGGGAGAAAAGGAGAGTTTACAGCCTTTGGAAGAAAGGGCTAGCCACTCACAGTGATTAACAAAGATGCTGAGAGGCTGTGCAGGGTGGAAATCAGGAGGGCTAAAGCCCAGCTGGAAATTAATCTGGCTTCAGCAATCAAGGACAAGAAGAAATGCTTCTAGAAGTACTTCAACAGCAAAAGACAGGCCAGGGAGAGCCTCCATCCCCTGCTAGACACAGGAGGAAACATGGTAACAAGCGATGAGGAAAAGGCTGAGATGCTTAATGCCTTATTGCCTCAGACTTTAATAACAAGACTAGTTGTACTGAGGGAATCCAGCCTCCTCATCCAGAAGACAGAGGCTGGGAGAACAGCACGCCCCCAATCCATAGGAGGAGATAGTGACCTGCTGCATCACACAGACACACACAAGTCTATGGGACCAGATGGGATACACCCAAGGGTGCTGAAGGAGCTGGCTGGGTGCTCACCAGGCCACTTTCTATCATTTACCAACAGTCCTGGCTGACTGGGGAGGTCCTGACAGATTGGCCAGTGTGACGCCCATCTATAAGAAGGGTCAGAAGGATAATCTGGGAAATTACAAGCCTGTCAGCTTGACTTTGGTGCCCAGGAAGCTGATGGAGCAGCTCATCTTAAGTACCATCACACAACACATGCAGGACAACCAGATGCTCAGGCCCAGTCAGCGGGTTTATGAAAGGCAGGTCCTGCTTGACAAACCTGATCTCCTATGACAGGGCGACCTGCTTATTGGATGAGGGAAAGGTTCTGGGTGTTGTCTACCTTGACTTCGGTAAGGCCTTTGACACCATTTCCCACAGCATTCTCCTGGCAATACTGCCTGCTCATGGACTGAATGAGCACATGCTTCCCTGGGTAAAAACCTGTCTGGATGTCCAGGCCCAAAGGGTTGTGGTGAACGGAGTTAAATCCAGTTGGCGGCCGGTCACGAGTGGTGTCCCCCAGGGCTCAGTTTTGGGGCCACTCCTGTTTAACATCTTCACTGATGATCTGGACGAGGGGATCGAGTGCACCCTCAGTCCATTTGCAGATGACACCAGGTTGGGTGGGAGTGTTGATCTGCTCGAGGGTGGGGAGGCTCTGCAGAGAGACCTGGACAGGCTGGAGCCATGGGCTGAGCCCAACTGCAGGAGTTTCACTAAGGGCAAATGCCAGGGGCTGCCCTTGGGCCACAACAACCCCCAGCAGCGCTACAGGCTTGGGGAGGAGTGGCTGGAGAGCTGCCAGTCAGAGAGGGACCTGGGGGTGTTGATTGACAGCCGGCTGAACAGGAGCCAGCAGTGTGCCCAGGGGGCCAAGAAGGCCAATGGCATCCTGGCTTGTGTCAGCAATAGCTTGGCCAGCAGGGACAGGGAAGGGATCTGACCCCTCTACTCGGCACTGGTGAGGCCACACCTCGATTCCTGTGTTCAGTTTTGGGCCCCTCATCCAAAAAGGACATTGAATGACTAGAGCATGTCCAGAGAAGGGCAACGGAGCTGGTGCAGGGTCTGGAGCACAGGTCGTACGGGGAGCGGCTGAGGGAACTGGGGGTGTTTAGTCTGGAGAAGAGGAGGCTGAGGGGAGACCTCATCGCCCTCTACAGCTCCCTGAAAGGAGGGTGCAGAGAGCTGGGGATGAGTCTAATGAAGTAACAAACGATAGGACAAGAGGTAATGGTGTCAAGTTGCACCAGGGAGGGTTTAGCTGGATATTAGGAAGCATTTCTTTCCAGAAGGGGTTGTTGGGCGTTGGAATGGGCTGCCCAGGGAGGTGGTGGAGTCCCCATCCCTGGAGGGGTTTAAGAGTCAGGCTAACATAGTGCTGAGGAATCTGGTGTAGTTGGGAACTGTCAGTGTTAGGTTGATGGTTGGACTGGATGATTTTCAAGGTCTTTTCCATTGCAGACAATTCTGTGATTCTGTGGTTCTATGGTATTGGTTACAGTTAAGTTCTGTGTGGGTTCAAAGTGTTATAAAAATTCCTATCACCTTTGTGTTTCTAATACTCTTCACTGTCTGCCCTAACAAAAGCAGAGATAAGTCTTTTTAGCATAATTTGCAAATCATCCTTCTAACAGAAAACATATGCTAACAGACAAAAATCAATCCAGTGTCTTTCAGGGCTTTTTGTGTTTACTTTGGGAGTTCTTTGTGTTTTCCTCTGAACAAGATGGCAAAGTTTACTAACAGCTTTTTTTCTGTTACACCTGTGGACAAGCCAGTAATTGCACTTGCTTCAACTAATAACCTCAGCATTTCTCAGTGAAAGCAGCCCAGTCCCAGTTCAGGTCATCTTTATTAGTGAATTTCCAGCTTTAACCTGTATGCCCCACCATGTTTCAGTACAGAGCTTCATGAAGTTGAAACAGCAGGCTGTACGAGCCTTCTCTGAATACACATCCCAGCTGGGGTTTTTGGCTTTGCAGCAGGATCATGCATCAGATAGTTGCTTCAGGTTATCAGGGGTAGAGGTAAACCTCTAAAACCAGATCACTTTTATTTGTATTTTTAACCTGTGCAGAGGCAGTAGGTAAGATTTTACACTTGTTATGAATGCAGTACATCTAGTTTAGCTAATACACCTGCTAGACATCTAGAACTAACAGACAGCTCACCTAAGCAGTGTTGTGCTTAGTGTCCTCATCACAGTACCCAGTTGACTTTCACTGGCCAGGCAGTCATCAGCTGAGGATGTGTTGGCCTCCCTTGCTTCTTGGACTGTGCTGGTCCTTGGTCTTACTGAGCTGTCTTCCCGTCTGGGGCAGGCTCTCCTTCAGATTTTTACTTCCCCCCGCCCCACCCCCCCCAGTGTTTTTTCTCCTGAATTGCTAGTACCATGTCAGTAAAGTCAAGGTTGCACATCTTGTTTCTCCGCAAACTGTACCCTGGGGCACAGATACCTAACGTCATAGGCATTATGAATTACAGCAGGAGATGCAAGTGATAAATAGCTATATAGTAGCATGTCCTACATAAAAAGCAATGTAAAATGTTGCCTTATTTTTAATGCATTTTCACCTTCATTGATGACTGTATTTGATTTCTTTTCTTTTTTGATCCAACAGAATAGTGAAACTGAGACACCATGATGTAGTTTTGCTTCAACATGATCAAAACATTAAGAATATTCTAAACTAGGGCTGAAACTGGAGTTGGAAAAACAATCTTGCCACATTTTGTTTACCTACGTACCTGAAAATTTGGATTATAAAATTAAGAAAAAACAGTTAATATTTAAAATGGTTTATACCAACATTGCATATTGCATTTATTTCTGATTTATCTAATTATCTTTGTTGTATTCTTAGGAGATTCTTAAGAATGAAAATTATAGAGAAGAAATGAAACAGAAAATCAAAGATGTATCTGAAAAGGATAAGCTGCTTCAGACCAAGGAATACAAGGAGGGACTTGTTGCTGAACCAGCTCATACTCATGTTAAAGGCCACGCATCTGCCCCTTACTATGGCAAGAAAGAGCCTTCGCAAGATCCAATGAGCACTGCAAATACCTTTCAGCCAGGCTCCTGGATGCCACCAGGCAGTGGTAGTAATAATAAACAACAGTAATCTGCAGCTATTGCTAATGGATAAATATTCTAAGAGACAACACAAACAGCTGTTATATATATGTGTGCAATAAAGCAATATTAAAGCAGTTTATTTTTGCATAACTGTTCAAATAGGTGTTACCAAGACAAATGACTGTAAAATGTTTGAGTTTACTGAAAAACAGGACATGTTACTAAATAAGTTTGTTTTCGATGGTGGTTCATCAGTTACTCTTGAACGTGGAAGGTTTTCTAGCTAACTTAATTTTCTTAAATAATTCTAAATTGTTTTTTACTTGAAAATTCATTTATTTTTACATAGTGTTTGATGTAATAAATTTTAGTTAATCAGTACACTTAAATTTTCCCAAACCTAGGTGTCAGTTTAAGATAATTATTCAGAGTGTTTGTTAAGTCCCTTGGCAGTGCCAGTGTGCTTTTCTCTGGCAAGTGGATGGAAAAATTTATTTCATTAACAGGACTCACCATGACACTACACTGACTACACACTGTAGTAACCTTGGAGACATTCTTCCTAGATTTAAGAAAACAATCAACATATTTGAATGTTTGATTTGCAGCCAGCAGTAGGCACAGAATAAAATCAGGCTGAGTCCAACTACAGATAACTACTATAATAGAGGTTAGAAGCACTTGGTAAACCTGCTGGAAAATAACACAGCGTTTGGGACAAGGGACTGTCAATAATAATATTGAAAAAATATTTCTAGTGCATGTGGGGACTTCCCTAAATCATTAGCTATATTTAGCCGCAGATCTCATTTGCTTAGAGATGATGTTTGAGAACCTAAAGTCAAAATAAAGACCACACAGCTTTTTGAAAAAAGTATCAAATTTATTTATGCAGTGCATCTTTCATCAGTTCTCCTCCATGTGTTTTAAGCTATGTAGGTATCAAAGGTGGAACACATACACATGTGACAACACTTGATAACAAAAAGGTGGAGACTTGAACCCATGTATTTATAAAATGCCAAAATGCCATATTCTAATAACCTTGCTTTGACCAACAAAATTGAAAGGGGATCAACAATACTTCACATTTACTGTAATTCATCCCCACTTGTAATCCCCCTTCGTGTCAGGCAGCTCCACAGTTCTCATTTGGACAATGGTATTATTTCAAGGTTTTATTTTTAAACATAATAAAGGACTAGTTGCTAGAAAGCACAACTCTGTGCTGCCATTTAGAAATACGCTAAGTCTAAGAACTTAACAACTGGCACGAGCTCTTTAGAATTAGGCTATTAATAAAAATTAGACTTTGAAAAAGTAATCACTTCTGTTAGAAAAAGATGAACTGGAATTAAGGTTATATAATTTTGGCGTATCAGAAACCCCACTTGGACTTTTTCCAGCATGACAACATTTTGCAACCTGGAAGGCAGCTGAGTTTCAAGGGCTATAAACACAAAGATCCCACCTAAAGCCAGAAGGTCCTAAATCAAAGGTAGCCAGAAGGTTAGCAAGTAGCAAGAACTACTGTCACCAGGATGCACATCCTCCTCCTGTATGCTCCCACAGCCAGACCTGCTATAGGTCACCAGGACACAGAACACTAGGCCACCTGGGCCTTTGTTCTCACCCCATTTATGGCTATTCTTTGAGGCATAAAAAGCTTCTGAAGGTAGAAACAAATTAGTTATAGGTGGAGTGTTTGGGTGATCCTTAGAGAAAGCCAAAACACATGGTTTGGTTTGAGTAGTGTAAGACAAATGAAGTTAGTAAGAACAAGCAATCAAGTTTCCTACAGTTCGGGCTGAGTTTAAAGACTCTTGATGTCTGATAGTTCAAGAAACAGAAAAAGCTATGGTAGGTTCTTTGTGCAGACAAGCCCCACTGAAAGACACTACAGCAAACCCTATGAGCATACAGCTGAATGAACCGCAGGGCCCCATGCAGCATCTTAAACAAATCAGAAAGGGGTGCTACCCAACTCTGAAGCTAGCTTAACTACAGCTATGCTGAAGTTATACCAGAACTTGCCTTTCTGTCATCTAGTTTAGCATGCACATCTTCCCCATAATTTGACAATTTTAAGACACTTGTTAAGTCATAGCTCAGCTAAGGAAAAAAAAAAAAAATCTAACTCCAGAGCCACCCAACAGGTTAATTGTTTTTTAATTTCACATGCAAATTCAGACAAAGCAACCTGCACTAGGACACAAGTAGTAGATTAAATGACTTGTAACAAGCCACTTGGACAAACTTTAACATAAATCATCTCAGCAGAAAAAATACACTAGAGGGATTAAATTCCATACTTCAAGAAATAACAGGATCAAGTATCAAAGGACAGTTAAAACATAAAACGTACAAGTGTTTAATTTAAAAAGTGGATTCTTTGCACAAGGAAGGCCTTTTTTTTCCCCATTTAATCCTTCTTTGTTCGTTTGGCTTTTGCAATATTCTCTTGGCGTTTCTGTTTCTTCTTTTGCTCTCGCTCCCTGGCCTCAATCATTTTTGCAAGCTTCCATGAAAGTGCTGCACTAATTATGAACAACGGTGTAAGGGCCAAGATGACTGTAGTAAGAAAGCCGTATGGGTCCTTTGCAGCCCACTCCACGATGTATTCAGCCCAAGCCTTAATATCGAACATTGTTTCTGTTTTTCTATTGGGAAAACCCTATGGAATATACAAATAATTTCTGAGTATTCAGAAAAATAAAAGCGGACATACACAGCAACTACCATTTCAATATGAGTCATCAACTTTCGTTATTAAAGAGCAAGCTCATTTTTGGTAGAAGAGTAGCGTATGGTGTGTTCAAGTGTAACGCAAAGTGTTGACCCTCCCTTCAAGTACCACGTTTACAAAATAATTAGGCACGTCATCCAACAGAGCTTCAGATACTACCACGAAAAAAAAAAAAAAAAAGTGAAGCCTGTGCTCCTTTGGAAGAGGAGTGCCCAGCTGGTTTACCTTTCTGTAGGCTTTACTAGAGAGCTGAGGCAGCCGGGGCAGCGCTTTAGTGGGCAAGCAACAGCCGGTAAGTCAGAAACGGCGCAGAAGCGGGGTCTGCGAGCGCCCAGGCGGGCTGGGGAGG